GTTGATAAAATTGAATTACCCTGATTGAACTCTGCCCTATGTGATTTCTGGCCAGCTAACATTTGCAAAAAGTATCTCCTCAATAGATTTATCTTGTGCCTAAAAAACGCAGAATGGACATGAGTTTTACCAAGGATTATGTAAGATCACTTTGCATTGCATTTCTTGCAGAACTCAGTATTTACAGGATCAGTACTCGAAGACTGTCAATCGGGCAACACCCCGTGGGCCTCCGGGTACGCCTGGAATACCTGGCAGAGACGGAAGTGACGGAAGGCCTGGAATGGATGGTCCAACGGGGGTCCCTGGAAGAGATGGCCCTCCAGGAAAAGATGGTTATCCCGGTTCAGCGGGGGCCGCGGGGCCTCCAGGTGTAAATGGTCTCCCTGGGCATCGTGGAGAGCGAGGATTAAAAGGAGAAAGGGGTGATCTTGGTCCAATAGGTGAAGAGAAAAATAAAAACAAGATGCCAAAATAGTGAGAAATGTTGTGTCCTCTAACACAGGATTACGTCTTGTGCTTGATCTCATGCAAAGAAAACACGCCTACGTGCCCCACCAAATTTGTGTCGAGGAATATCTCACGAATTTAACCGAGCATGTCGGAGGGTGTGGGATGGGGGAGGGGGGCGAGAGTCATGAGACGATGCGATCCACTGAGGAATGACATGTGTTACGTGAGAAGGAGAAAGAGAGAGACTCCACCTCGTGTATCTCTAACTTAGTACCCGCTTCCACGTCACACAAAATTCTGATATCGAGAGGCATTGCTGCATGTTTAAAAACTCAAGACAGGTGAACTCAACTTTTTACTTTTTTTTTTTATCACAATGTTTTGCTTGTTTTCTTGTTACTTATAGGAGCGAGAGGTTTACCTGGAATGAAGGGAGGAAGAGGAGTTCCCGGAATACCGGGAGAGGAGGGCGAACCGGGACTTCCTGGTACGGTGGGGAACAAGGGTGATAAAGGTGAACGTGGGGAGACGACTTGTTATGTCACGGAGAGGGGGCGGAGGGTGGAGAAATCGTGCTTCGAGGCTGCATCTTATGAAGAAACTAGCCGAGCTCAAAGCAGGGATGCTGGAGGGGCGCTTACCTATGTTCGATGGGGAAGGACCACGTGCCCCGTGGGAGGTGCTACAATAGTGTACTCAGGTGAGGAGGTACATTTTTCCCGTAGATAAGGTCAAGGGGAAAGTTGTAAATTCTGAAATCTGCATCAGGTAAAAATAAAGCTGCCTAGCCGTGAGGACAAAATGAAGAACTCTGCGGTCAAATCCTTGGGATAGAAGAAAAAGGTTTTTATCGAGAGATTCATCCCTTGGGGTGTATAAAAAATCCAGGTTTTTAATCATGCTAAATAATAACCTTTTTCGTGACACAAGTTGAGTGGGGGGGGAGGGGAGACATACTATTTTACACCCTCTTTAGTTACGTCCTAGAGTTACCTATAAATGAATTCCTTTATCTTGACTTTCTTAACAATGCTGGATTCTTCTCTCCAACTCTCAGGGCAAGCTGCAGGTACACGTCATGACAAAGCTCGTACAGGTGGTTCCCCTAACATCTGCGTACCCAATCAGCCCTGGTATTTCGGTCAAGTGGATCCCAGTACTCCACTCGGAAACATATCCCAGGCGAACCGCGATGCGATAAAGCAGGACGAGACACGCAGCATCCTACACGGCACCTACTTCTACCTGTCATGTGTGCTGTGCCTGGTCAGGACCCGTAGCGTGCAGATCATGCTGCCGGCTCGAAAGGAATGCTATCGAGGCTGGCATCGAGAGTATGATGGCTACCTGGTGGTGCAGTCCAACCGGAAGGACCACAAAGACGTCATCTGCTTGGACCGGCAATCCAGGAATCTACTGAAAGATGCCACATATGTCCGAGGGCTTTTTGCAAGTTGTGAGACGTTCTCCTGCCCTCCATATGTAGAAACAGAGAGACTCCCTTGTGTCGTTTGCACGATCTAGATATAATGTTAACTGTAGTGGACAGATGAAGCCCCTTGGTATAGCTCTTAAGTGTAGGCTNTTCTGCATGACTCCATCAATGCAACCCAAGTCTCAGTTGGTCTGTACTCTACTCTGGCCCACTCCATCCTACTTCATCAAATGGGGAAATGTCAATATAATATATACAGTCTACTCTATTGCGAGTGGACAACCTTAGGAATTGGAAGAACTATCTGCCTGTGGCAATTATTCCCAGAAGCCAACACCAAAGAAAAATAGGGTAGATGCCCGGCCTGCTCACAGGAAAGTGTTCTGTTGGACTCTTGTTAATGTCAAACGACTGGACAGCTTCCTTCTAGGGACAAATGGAGATTTGACAAGAGCAATCCCCACTATTCCCCACTATTCTATTATTTACAAATTCAACACAAATTTCATTGCCAAGAGACCAAGAGTCAATTACTATGCAGAGGATATCTGCTTAACAGAGAGTATAACAAAAGAAAAATCAAATTTTTACTTTAAAAGTGTCCACCCCTGCCTACAAGATTAAAGAGTATGCACGTCTGCTTATGTGATAGTGGCCGTTTATGGGAATGAGTAAATACAGAGTTTGACTTGGAGGCTAAATGGGATTTGAAAAAGAGTGTCCACAAGTAGAACTATCCGCTTAAGAGAGGGTTCAAAAGCTGGGAGTTGACTGTAGAGTTATAGATAATAACTGGGTGTAAAAAATAGGGAAAGTAGTGGGGGGGAGGGTGGGGGCTATGGACCTGAAGGCCCACAGGCGGCCCAAGCTCTCTTTGAGAACCACACAAGGAACACAATTAGCATATTGATTTATAAGGATTTGTATGGGATTTTCTACAAGATATCCATGGAGATAGTTAAAAGTGAAAATAATAAATAAAAATGGCTTACCTTATTCTATACGTGTGTTGTTTCCTTCTGGTGTCATTATTTTACTGATTTAACTTGATTTAAGTGTTTTTTTTAATCCTGGTTAAACCTAATTAAACTTCTTTAAATACTGCAACTCATTAATTTGTAAGCACAGTATAGCAGTTATTGGTAGTTGATTGGATTTTACATGTATTTGTGAATCACTTCTCATTTCCCTTTTCCATAATCTGTATTATAACATAGCTTGTAAATTCGTGCAATCAAATCAATAGCGCGAGTGTGCTTCAATTTTCCATTGTGCACGCTGGTGATGTCAGTAAACAAATGCCCCATGAAAAAATTTTTTTCTTGCGAGTGACTTCAGCATTTTTCATTAAAAAATGGGAAAAACTTCTGCAAAAAAGTTAAACTAGACATGGCAACAAGCGAACAAGCCGATGAAGATCTGCCTAGTTTTTCTTTGGGAATGGATTATTTAACTCCTGAGAAAGGGAAAACAAAACAATCACGGTTTCACCTCGTTTCGAAACTTTAACTTCATTTCCACACATGAATTCACCTGTCAGTTTTTGACCAATTTGAGACAAGATCATTGAAGCATGGCAAAATACTTTTCCAAAACAAAATAAACAATGCATTGAAGTGTAGGAGAGGGAATTTCTGCTCTTTATACATAAACTACAGCGTTGAAAATGTTATAAAACAATTGGTTCCTACGCCTCGAGCAACTCTTACGCATCTTGTGTGCTCTCTAAACTTCCCGCGTGCTTCATATCTTGATGAACGCACGCTGACGTATGAACCAATTGTTAATTGAATTTACATGTAATTAAGGTGTACATCTGTTGACATTGAAACAAATGAGTAATTCTACTGAAAGTCCTTCTTTTTGTCCAGATAAGTGAAGTTAATTTTTGCCTTTGCAAATTTTCTTCCAGCAACACCATTCAGCATTAAAGGTTTCCTGTGATGTCTGGGCTATCAAAGGTAAAAGTAATAACTCCTAATTTAATAATTTTGCAGAGCTTTGAAGTTGTAATTAATTAAGGGAAATTAATGCTTTTTCCTTTAAAGTCATCACTATAAAATTAATACCTTTCTGTGTTATTTGAGCAAATTTGCATAACCCATTTGTTATATGTTAATGAACTGTTTGTCATAGGGAAATGTGAAGCACAATTAAAAACATTGAGCACATTTATTTGATGAACCAACTCTACAAAGGGTAATGGTTTTTGTTGAATGGTGGTGTCTGTAAAGTCACAAAAATCAGCAAGTCAAGTTTATAATTATTAAATAGTGCTACATGTGTGCTTGCACATCCATTATCTTTTGATAATGACTCCATATAATGTTTTTGGCTAGTTCTTGGCTTAAAAAAAAAAGAAAAAAAGCACTTGTTTTGAACAGTCCAGTACATTCCATTATGAATTGTGATGTGTCTGGATACGCATACATTCATAACTGTTTTCTCCCTAGCAATTAATGTGAACAGGTTAATTATACAAATTTGCCCTATTGTATAATGTGTCCTGAAACTCTCAATGACTTAGAACAAATAATACGCAGGGCTCAACACTAACTTTTCAACTTACTAGCCAATTTAAGTGGCTAGTGACATCTTAGATGTTTTTAGATGTTACGATAATTTCAATCTGTTTATTTGCCAAACTGGCTAGTGGAAATTAAAAACCACTAGCCAAAACTGAATTTTTACTAGTCTGTGGCTAGTGGGCTATCATTAGTGTCGAGCCCTGATACATGTATATTGTTTTCATGATTTTTAAAGATAGTTGAGCTATTCAATAAAGAACATGTCTAGGTCAGAATCACATGCAAGAGAAACCCTTTTTCTTTTAAAACCATGATAAGCGTATGTGCCTTTTTGGTCTTTTTTAGTTCTTTGAGTTTTACAGTCCTTATTGACTCATGACTAAGGATAAACTATTCATTGTCAAGATTTTATTATTGAACTGTTTCCCAATGAAAAATTGCATTAAGTATTAAAAGGAAAGTCTAGGTTTTTTGTGTATACACATTCTGCAGACAGTAACATCCTAAGTAGGTGTGTCAGTGGCTTTAAGTTAATCCTGTGCTCCTGTTAATGCAAGTTATCTCTAACTTTGTTAGTATACAAAGAACTCTATGGCAAGTCTATTAAAGGGATATCAACATTGAAGCGTATTCAACAAGGGAAAAGGTTTCAATATATTTACAACTTACGAGCACATGGCATTGCTTGACAACCTCGCAACAAACGTAGGGGGAGACTGGAACCAATACTACTCAGTCTCTACAAATACACCACATCTCCCCCTTTCTTGGACCGAACTACAACGGAAATAACAACAAAGAACGGGGTCCGGAAATAACAACAAGGAACGGAGTCCGAGAACATAGTTCAAACAGTCCATGTAAAAACTCCAACATTAACTAGGAATGTCTGATGACAACAGTTAAATGTACGGAAGTCCCAGCATTACTTCAGATAGACTCTATTAGTCTATCCGGAGCTCTTCGCCCG